TTTTTTTTTTTAAAGGGGTTTTTTTTTTTTTTTTTTTTTTTTTTTTTTTTTTTATTGGTTGCTGGTCCCCTTATTCCCAGTTTTTGACTTTTAAACATCGTCCTTTGACAGGATGTGACTGCAACCAAAGGAAACGAGTTTGAAGATTACTGCCTTAAGAGGGAACTGCTGATGGGCATCTTCGAAATGGGCTGGGAGAAGCCTTCCCCTATCCAGGTAGTTTAACCTGTATACACCATTACAGTATGATCCTGTTGCAAAGTTTACACATTTATCTAAACCAATGTGGTTGATTGGTTTTGTCTGCTTAGCTTATGACTTTTAGAATAGTTGTTGAGAGAGCCTGTCTTGAGTTTTGTTTGCCCCTCCCACCCCACTGTCTGTCTCTGTAGGAAGAGAGTATTCCTATTGTCTTGTCAGGGAGGGACATTCTTGCCCGAGCTAAAAATGGCACAGGTAAAAGCGGAGCCTACCTCATCCCCCTCTTGGAAAGGATTGACCTGAAGAAGGACTATGTTCAAGGTTGGAATACAATATGAAAAGCAAATAAGTTATTTATAATGCATTAATTCTACCATTTAAGCATTTGGGGTCTGTAAGACTTTTTGTGCCCTTGCTTAACAAGGGATGCATTTGTTTAATTAAAAATTAGAGAAAAATGTCATTGTGAATTTGATTTGATTACAAATGTACTTTGTTCCAGTGATGGCAAAGCTGAATTTTCGGCAGCCATTACTCTAGTCCAGTGGTTCTCAACCCGCGGCCCGTCACGAATTCAAATGCGGCCCACCGTGCTGAACACAATAAAAAAAAAAAAACTTTCAGTTTTACAATTCATTTTAGTTTTTACATTAAAAAATGTACTAAATAAATATAAGCTATAACCTAATGTTTTTATGTAAAATAATTTTGTTTTTCACATGGCGGGACACTAAACACCGTCGAGCTGCTCTTGACAGTCTCGGCAGCACGGTCTCGTGTTGTTTCCACCAGCGCTGCAATTTTTTCATCACTAATTGATGGATGTCTAAAATATAAAAGTGCACTTGGACCATAGTGCGGCCCGGTGGAAAAAAAGGTTGAGAACCACTGCTCTAGTCTGTAGCGTCACATGATCCTTCAGAAATCATTTGAGTATGCTGATTTGGTGTTCAAATATTTCTTATTGATATTGACGACAGTTGTGGAAATGTGATGCTTTTTTTTCCCCGTTCAGGATTGTTTGAGGAACACAGTTTAAAAAGAACAGCATTTATTTTAAATACAATTTTGTAACCATGTAAAATATGCTATGTAAAATACTATGCCTGTAACTGTTACTTTTATTCAGCAAGGACAGATTAAATTGAGCAAAGTACTAATATTTCCAAAAAATAAAAATCTTGGTGACCCCAAGCTTTTGAACATGTTTATATAAATTGAATTTGTTTTTTTCCCCCTCTTAACTTTATTTTAGCCATAGTGTTTGTACCTACTCGTGAGTTGGCTCTTCAGGTGAGCCAAATAAGTATCAACATGAGCAAGCACCTTGGTGGCGTCAAGATTATGGCTACAACAGGTGGCACTAACCTGAGGGATGACATCATGCGTCTTGATGAGACTGGTAATTGGAGTTCTCTACCATCTTTGAGTTTCCCGAGCTGGAAAAATCTAGTAGTTATTTCAAAACTGAATGTGGGTTATAAAATGGAAGTAAAAAAACACTTTACAGTAACACGCTTACAATTACAGACAATAATATTATTAAAGCACAGTAAATTTGCCTAAAGGCAGTGTTTCACAAGTTTTTTTTGTTTTGTTGGGATGTTACACCTACTGACTGTTTTTCTGAAGTCTTGCCAGACCACAGTCATTTAAGCAATTCTTAAATTGTGCTTCCTTGTTCCTCAAATCCACACTTCATTATATTATCTACACTTTATTATAATGGGTTCAAGATCTAACATACAGGGCAAGTCATTTTGACAGTGAATTTAATTTATTTAAAGTCTCCCTGTGGTGAAAATCAAGTTTATGTTGTATATTTGTCTATGTGGTGTTTTTTAATATTCTTTGACAAACCATGTGCCAATCCATTTATCAACACCATTGCTGAGTATTTTCTCCTTAAAACCAATATTTCCACTTGCCATTGTATCGCGTTTACTACATTTCAGTTAGTGGATCAGGAGACGCTGGCTCACGGCTGGCTGGTGTGTGACTGAGTGGAGGCGGGGCTAATTTGCGTATAGTAAATGAGGCAAGGGTGTAGAGTTGCATTCAAGCTATTCTAAGGCATGCGAAAATTATTTTCACAGGAAAAAACATTTAAATATGTAATTTTGATTATCAACGATGAGTTTTAAAGGATAACATTTTTGACTACAGGGGGACTTTAAAAGAATTTAGAAGTGAAATGTACTTGATGAATGCAGTCCCCCCTCCTCCTACTGTTAACCATTATATTCTTTTCTCTTCAGTACATGTTATAATAGCTACCCCAGGAAGGATCCTGGACTTGATAAAGAAAGGTGTGGCCAAGGTTGACAAAGCTCAGATGATTGTGATGGATGAGGTGAGAAAAATAATGCAAAAAAAAAAGTCGATTTCCAGCTAAGCATATTCTCTGAATGAATGCTAAAATTGAAGTTCATGGTATCTGATTCTTTCTTTACAGGCTGATAAGTTGCTTTCTCAAGACTTTGTGGTGCTCATTGAGGACATCATCAGCTTCATGCCCAAAAAACGCCAGATTCTGCTCTATTCTGCCACTTTCCCCAGCAGTGTGCAGAAGTTTATGGTGAGAGATGTACTTGTTGTAATAACTCCTCGGTTTTTATAATCAGTCTAATCTTTAGTTAAATGTCTTACTATATCCGAGATTATTTCTCATATTTAGATGTCTTGTTTAATCATGCTAATGACTCTCTCCTGTTGTGTAGTCCAAACACCTTCAGAAGCCATATGAAATCAATCTGATGGATGAGCTGACACTGAAAGGCATCACTCAGTACTATGCTTATGTTACAGAAAGACAGAAAGTGCACTGTCTCAACACACTGTTCTCCAGAGTAAGTGACCATTCCCTTTACAGATCCGCTCTAAATTTGACTGGTGTTTTGTAGTGCTGTGTTCAAAATATCGATACGACGATTTGACGATACAGCTGGCCCTGTATCGATATTGTGGCACGTGTGCAGCAGTGGACCACGCTTAATTTTACAACGTTTAAAATTGAGTAGAAAAGTGCGAGGTTTCTAAAAAAGAATGAAAAGAGCATCTGTTAAGTACCACAGTACAATATAGGTAATTGCATATGTTTCATGTTTACATTGTACCTGGTTGGGAGTGCACAATGTAAACATGAAACATATGCAGTTACCTATATTGTACTGTGGTACAGTTCTGGAGGCCCTTCATAATGCAGAGGTCAACTGCTTGCTCTGCCAATAGTTAGAAATGGCACTATAGTAAGCAGTGTTTAATAAACAGCTGTTTTTCTAAATTCTGCTGAGGTGAAATTCAGTGCAGTCATGTATCGTGATATGTATCGTATCGTGGCCTCTGTATCGTGATACGTATCGTATCGTGACTTTGCTGGTGATACACAGCCCTAGTGTTTTGCAAGTTCTCCATTTGTAGTATTCCAAAGCTGCTTTAGCATACTACAGTTGAGTAACTGTGTTATCTTAAAGTCTTTTGGTACTTCATTTCCTCACCTTCTAGGGAAAAAAATCATTGTCTCTCCTTCTATTTATGTTTGTTATATCTTTTTCTTTCTTAGCTTCAAATCAACCAGTCAATCATCTTCTGTAACTCCACCCAAAGGGTGGAACTCCTTGCCAAGAAGATCACACAACTAGGCTATTCCTGCTTTTACATCCATGCCAAGATGATGCAGGTCAGCTTCAAAATGCATTAAACCTTTTTTCAAGAGGAAACACTATTGTTCACTTTTTTTTTTTTTTTTTTTTTTTTTTTTTTTTTTTTTTTTTTTTTTTTTTTTTTTTTTTTTTTTTTTTTTTTTTTAAAGAGATTAATTTGGAAAGGGGGCATTAAGTTGATCAAAAGCGTTACAAAAGATTTCCATTTCAAATAAATGTTGTTCTTTTAAATTTATGTAGAGAATCCTGAAGAAATGTACTGTTTTTACAAAAATACTAAGCAGCACAACTTATTTTCAACATTGATATTAATAAGAAATATTTTTTGAGCACCAAATCAGCATATTTGAGTGATTTCTGAAAGATCACGTCACACTGAAGACTGGCTGCTGAAAATTCAGCTTTGCCATCACAGAAATAAAGTATTCTAATAAATGAAAATAGACAAGTTCTTTTAAGTTGTAATATTTCTCAATATTACTGTTTTTACTGTATTTTTGATTAATTCAGCCTTGTTGAGCATAAGCAACTAAAAATCATACAGACCCCAAATTATGAACAGTACTACATGTTCTTATGTTGTTCTTGGTGTATGCTGTGATTTTTGTTTTTCTAAATTATTTTTGTATTAACACAGGAATACAGAAATCGTGTGTTCCATGACTTCAGAAACGGACTGTGTAGGAACCTGGTCTGCACAGGTACGGATAGCCACATTCGTAGATGTCTTGTTGTCAGTATATTTCCCCAAATATTTTTTTAACATTTTCCATGGGATATTTCCTGTCACAGATCTTTTCACAAGAGGAATTGACATCCAGGCTGTCAATGTAGTCATCAACTTTGACTTCCCCAGAAATGCAGAGACATATCTGCACCGCATTGGTCGATCAGGTAATCATCAGCTCTGGATTGGACTGGTTATTTGTTGTATGGGTTTCCTTTCATCATTTGTGGTGTTTTTTTTGTTGTTTTTTTTACATTTGTTCATGTTAATTATTGTGATTGGGTCTACATGTAGTTTATTTCAGTGTTTTCTCTATGTTCTCAGGTAGGTACGGTCACCTGGGATTGGCCATTAACCTGATCACCTCAGAAGATCGTTTCAATCTAAAGGGCATTGAGGACCAGCTGATGACTGACATAAAGCCCATACCCAGCAGCATTGACAAGAACCTGTATGTGGCGGAGTTTCACACCATGAACCCTGATGAAGAGGAGGCTGCTCACAAAGCAGGCGAGCTTAATTAACCCTTACCGGTAAGAAGGTCATGTCCTAAAAGACCTGATCTGAAGCACTTCAACTTGTTCTTTTGTATAGATGTGACTAAATTCAGTTGGAATATTTCCCTTTCTTTCAGGAGAATAAAGGGACCAATGCTTGGCATTCTGCACAATTTCTACTGAAGACAGGCGCAAAGATGACTCATTTTGTTTGTTTGTTGTAGTTTTATTTTCTCACCAAATGCTTCAAGGGTCTGGAACTGCCATGGTAAAATGTGATCAGCTGCCACACATTTAGGGGCTAGTATGAAGTCATTAGATTTGTTCTCGATGGACTCCCTGAGGCAGCTTTCCCCTTTTCCATTTGGAGCACAATAAGCCACTGTTCTTTGGACCCAGAGCACTGGCGAAGACCATTCACCGTTCATAACTGCTGTTCATGAGGATTTCTTTCCCTTTTATTTACCGGAACAATGAAATAAAAAATGCTGGCAGTCAAGAGGGTGCCAAAAACAAATGCCCAAGCTTTACTAGGAGTACATTTGGTCTATCCATCACCTAATGTGGAAGGTTTTGAGCATTATATAATGATTGAGTTTTACTCAGAGCTTTACAGTTGATCAGGGAAAACCAGGGAGGAAGTTTAACACATTCATAATGGTCTTCTTTTGGTTGTTTACAACCTTGCATGTGTGTATATATATCATCTGGAGAGAAGCTTGTGCTTTTGTTCTAATACGAACAGACAATATTTCGACTTTTTCTTTGGCTAACTTGACTTGCCACCATGACATCATTCCCAAATATTTTTTAAAAACATTCAGCCCCTTTTTAAAGTCAGTCTGCATCGTCATACTCACTTTGGCCATCTCTATTTCTCCAAGTGCCTTACTCGGTTATATACTTCCTCTAGGTAGGAGGGAGCACTATAGGTGCGTGGTGCAAAAAGCAAAACTCCACTTTGGTCAGGATTGTTTGGTCAAGTTGTTACCTGCTAGATTTAGACTTCTCTTATACCTCAAACCCATAAATCGCTTGTTTTCTGTTTGACCCACCATTTTGTTGGTAGTAAACAGTACCTAGCTCAGCATTGGCTGGGTGAGCAATAGATTTGGTTGTGTCCAACAACCAGGTAACCCAGTTCAGATGTTTGGTGAGGCTGGACTTCAATTTCAGCAGTTCAGCCTGCATTTTTGAAAACTGAGGGACAGTTCAATATGCTCTTCTTTTTTCCCCCGTTGAAACGTACAGTCAGGTTTTATTTTGATAAAACCGTGTAATGTGATTGATCTGATTCAGTCTTTCCCCTGGTGTTGTCTAATGCACAGAAACAGACAGAGTAATGAGTAATGTCTTTTACAACATATCAGCACAAATGCTGTGATGAAATGACAGCTGTAATAAAGTTGGTAGCTCTTGAAATGTAAACTTTTGTGTCCCCTGTTGTATGTGTTGAATTGTGCTCTCTTTGCCATGTGTTGTATTAAGTAGAAGCTGTGTGTTTTACTGCGAGGATTCATGGAAGAATGGCCAAAGCTTTTTGCTCCAAATGTTAATGCCAGCCTATCCTGTCCCTTCTCTTTTAAGCAAAATAAAGTCCAGCATATTCTCCAAATGTTTGTTTTCTCTTTCAAGTACCTTGAAGTCAAAGAAACTATCACTCCAGTGACTTAATCGGTAACTAGCTTAAATGGCTAAAATTCATTTCTACAATCATTTCGCAATCTTTAAATATATTATTTAAAATAGGTAAAATAAACTGATTAACTGAGCCTAGTTCAATGAGTTTTTGACTAGCATTTTCCTAATTAACATTAAATGTTTAGAAACTCCAAAAAGCGACATGGCTCAACCCACACCATATCAAGGCTGAGCAAGACGAAAGGGCAAGTTTCAGAGAAGTTACAACAGAGTTGCTACTTACAACACATTACTGTGGGGCTCTTTGGCTGAAATGGAAGAAACTCCAGACATCAATCTCTTAAGCACTTTAGCCTCTTTGCATGGCTAAAAGAAAGCCACTTCTGAGAAAGATTAATATTACCTCCTGCTTGAGGCCATGTAACAATCTGAAACTCTCAGATGAGAATTTTGTGCTCTAAAGATGGGGGGAAAGTTTTCAAGAAATCGTGTTTGCATTAAAAGCGTATTTATAGGCAAAGCTTTTGCTTTCCTGTAAGATATATAGGTCTTCCGTTATAGAGAAATTAAAGTTTATGGTTAAAATATTTGAATATAAAAATATTCTATATATTATTCTATATTTCTCACAATTTTGCATTAGCTGGAAAAAAAATCTAGTTCACATTTCATTTTCATTTAGTTTAACTTTAGTTCAAAATTGCTACAAACTATATAGACAAATTAACAAAAACTAAAATGTCAAAAATGACAAATTAAAAACTGAAAATATATAATAATCAAAATATGAGTAAAAAGCTACAATAGTATCTCAGTGATACTAAAATAAAAGTTATTTAAAAATAACGTTTTGTTTTTTTAGGAAATAACTGCTCTGTTAACATCTTGTCGTCTATTTATTCATTGTCATGTTAAAGTAACACAACGAAAACATGCATTAATAAAGAACAACTGCAAATGTACATGTCCAGCTCATACCCTTGAAGACTAACTGGAGGAGTGGAGAACACACGTCACGAACCCTCGCGTTTCCTTCCCCTATGACCTCACGAGGACGCCATACTCAGTATCCAATTATCAGGCAGATGTGGTGTCTTTTATCCAATCATCTCTTAATACAGCCGGAATGGGCGGGCCAAGACGTCGGGTACGTAGGTTGTCCCTTACATCCTACCGGTGCCTCAGCCGTTTAACTGGACTGCATTGCTAATAGTGATGGGAAGTTCGGTTCTTTAATTGCTAAACGTGAGTATAGCACGAGGCCTGCAAATACTTACATAATTTGTATTCATTCACTTGCTATTAATTAGTCCGCCGTATATTGATGGAAAGGACTGTCCAGCTAGTATGTAATACAACCTCTTTCTCGCGTCTCACTCAGATATGTGTCACTCTTTATTTCACAACACAGCATGTTAGCTAGTTAGCTAGCATTAACCTTAGCTTACCTGCTATTTAGCCAGTGAGGCGTGAATGAAGCTCCACATGCCTAGTGCACTACTTTTCTCTAATGAGCCAGATTCTAGTTGTTGCTATGCGCACAGAAGTGGCTTTCAAGCCAAGAGAGTCACAGCTAAACTAACGTTAGTTGTCAACTGTGTAAACCCGGAGAGATCTAAGGTTTTCATTTGGTTTTGACAGTTGGCAGGTTTTGGAACCAGAAATATGTTGTTTACTGCCAGTCTTTGACTGTAGTAACGTGACCTTTTGCCCTATGGTTCTTGTCAGTGGACGCTAATGATAACATTTAATGTTATTTCAATGTTATTGTACTGTTCTATTTTTCTAAAGCATGGGCAGTGTGTTGGCTGCCAGCTCCCCAAACCCACCCCCAACCTCAGGGGGTGGCAGTGCCCCAGGGGGTGCAGGTCTAGTGGCGGTACCCCCAGGTTTCACCATGCCCCCAGTGTCTGCAGTCCCACCCTCCTCAGGCACACAAGGGCAGCCCGGGACAGATGCAGAGTCCTCTCTCCCTAACCCCGGTACATTTGAGGAGTGTCATCGCAAATGCAAAGGTTTGTCTTAGGCTCATTTTCTGTCATACCCTCTGCAGTTATATAATCTATATTATATTCTGTTTACTTAGTCTTTTTGTCTGCTTCTCAGAGGTCTTTCCTGTGCAGATGGAGGGGGTACGATTGGTTGTCAACAAGGGCTTGAGTAATCACTTCCAGGTCAGTTATCACACAATTCTATTTTTACCACTAAGAAGTGAAAGATCAAAGGACAAAACTATATATCACTTCTTCATGTGCTTCCTCAGGTTAGTCACACAATTACTCTAAGCACCTTGGGGGACTCAGGTTACAGATTCGGAGCTACATACGTGGGCAGCAAGCAAACAGGACCTGCAGAGGTGAGCCTTTTTAACTGATTAGTGTTTTTCTGTCAGTTTGCTATGCAGAAAACAGAAGATACAAACTTATTCAAAATATTAATAAAAACTATAATAGTATCTCAATGATTGTATGAAATAAAAACTGACAAAATATAAAAATAATAGCTGTCAAAATATTAATAAAAGTTATAATAGTATTTCAATGATACTAAAATCACAGAAACAATCTCAGAAACGGTTTTTAATTTATAATATTCTCTTTGAAGCGATTCAATCACAAGACATTTTTAAAAAAATATTCGCGCGATTTTTTGCGCAGCTCGTCAGTGAACAACAGCTCTGTGTAGTTAATGCTGCTCAATGTGAAAGCACGCACGTGATGGAGATTTACCGGTGATTACAGAACCGGCTTTTCTGACAAGATGCGCGTTAAATATCGCATGCGATTTATCGTGCAGCCCTAATTAAAATTACTGTGGTCCTATAATTATGAAAAAAAATGGAAATCTAAATGGCAGTTAGTAAAGATAATCCTATGACACCCATAAATTTGTATACAATGGCACCACTCTTACCCTTTTTTCTGTCAACTTACTATACCAATATTGTTTCAGAATGAAATGCTGAGATGCCTCTCTCTCTCTCTCTCTTTTAAAACATTTTTTTTTTAAAATATCTGTCCCCCTCAGTCTTTTCCGGTCATGGTAGGTGACATGGACAACACGGGCAGTCTAAACGCACAGATCATCCATCAACTCAAGATGCGCGTTAAATATCGCATGCGATTTATCGTGCAGCCCTAATTAAAATTACTGTGGTCCTATAATTATGAAAAAAAATGGAAATCTAAATGGCAGTTAGTAAAGATAATCCTATGACACCCATAAATTTGTATACAATGGCACCACTCTTACCCTTTTTTCTGTCAACTTACTATACCAATATTGTTTCAGAATGAAATGCTGAGATGCCTCTCTCTCTCTCTCTCTTTTAAAACATTTTTTTTTTTAAATATCTGTCCCCCTCAGTCTTTTCCGGTCATGGTAGGTGACATGGACAACACGGGCAGTCTAAACGCACAGATCATCCATCAACTTGCCAGCCGCATTCGCTCTAAAGTGGCAATGCAGGTACGTATGACTTTACAGTCATGTTCACAAACTATGAAAGGGAATCAGCAGATCCTACACATGACATAGTTTTTTATGTGACAGATGTATTGTACAATTAATGTAAGCTGAATCAGTTATGGGCTAAACTGATTTGTCTCGTATTGTGAGCAAAATCATTTCTGAAAAATATGGTGAGAAGAAAAAGTACTTTTATGAGGCTTAAAGGGATAGTTCACCCAAAAATGAAAATTCTGTCATTAATTACTCGCCCTCATGTCGTTCCAAACTCGTAAGACCTTCGTTCATCTTCGGAACACAAATTAAGATATTTATGATGAAATTGGAGAGCTCTCTAACCCTGCATAGACACCAACGCAACTGAAATGTTCCCAGGTCCAGAAACGTAGTTAGGACATCGGTAAAACAGTCCATGTGACATCAGTG